TTAAGTTCAGCCGGGTGCTGCTGACCTGAATGTAGAACACGACACGCTCAGCACCGTCTGCGTTATTCTGAATTAGTGCACGTCCGGTGTCAAACAAAAATCACTTGCATCATAGACCACATGTCATTGTCCGTCATGGTCTTCAATTGCCAAAACTGGCAAGCGTATCAATTTTTGTTCGATACCTTTGAGGGAGCACTGGCAATCAACACTACATGCCCACTTCTTGTTTTTTTTTCAATAAACGAAAGATAAGAATGCTAAACTCGACGTAATTATGCGAGTACTTGTGCAAACAAGCCGCTAGACCAAGAAATTCTCGAATTACTGTTGTGTCGGTAGGCACCGCCCATTCAGTGATCGCCTTGAGCTCTTAATGATCGGGCAGGACGCCGTGCTTACTCAAGATGCAACCAAAAAATAATTTTTGCTAGCAGCAAATATACACTTCTTGAGGTTGGCATACAACGTAGGCTCACGCGTTAGTGTAAGAGCCTTTAGGACGTGAATTCAGTGGTCTTCCACATCCTTCCGTCCATCGATAGCTCGGATATGGACAAATACGTCATCAAATTAACTAGGTGCAAATTCTCGCACAGATCTTAATAGATGCGAAACGAATATTTGGACGTAGCAGGGGCATTACTTACTCTCTGTGGCATAACTAGCCAATCCTGAGCATACCGCTTGAGGTGCTCATTTCTGTGTAAGAGACGTCGCTTTTACGCATCAGGATATGATAGAACATGTCCATCAGATCCATCGATGGAAAGATGGTACTCTTTGTCATGATATTTGTATTGAAAATCTTTCCTTGGTATCGGCGTTTGAACCATTACAGCTGCAGCATCTAACTCTTTGTAGGTCAACACAATCTGCTATCCCCCTGTGATCTTTTAGACACAGAAGGTTAATAAACTATGCGTGTAGGTATATTCCTTAACATTTCCCTCTGCCAAGCGATCGGCAAATTATTTTTTAATCACTAGTACCTGCTCATGAGGCAGTGGCAAATTCTTCATGACACAGCACTTTGAACCTGGTTGTAGGTCAATCCCATGACGAACACCCTTATCCTTAGGTAACTCACACGGCATTTTTCGGGGAACATCCCTGGATTTTATAAAATCATCGTAGAAAGGATTTGTCTTGAGAGATTTTCTCGATTGGTCTGTATATCGCTCAATCCAAGTCTTCTTATCATGAGCACTATCGTCTAGTGATGAGCTGCTGAGAACCCTTTCGTTCTCAGTGAATACCACAGCCAACCAAATATCGGTGACGTACTCGTCTTGCGATCTAATATGCTTGACTTTGCAACTACGCGGATCGTGCAAGAAACCCTTCTGTTTGACCGGGTGCAATTGAGGGATCTCTAAAGTTGTCTGTAGAGGCGCAATCCGATCAAGATGGTAATAGGCTACACTTTATTTGTCATTGAACAGGACATTTACGTCTCTGTTATCTTCTGGAAAATTATTTCCACAATTGGGTGATGAATTATTTCCTCAAAAGACATTTGGGTCATATCATCCGTGACACGAGTGGAATCGTTCCCTTGCTATTCTCTGGGGGTGGTTGTGCTACCGCGGTCAGGTCTTCTACGTGTAATTCTTTAATCGCACTAAGATCATCGTATTGTCAATTGTTGGCATTCAGTTCGTTCTCACTTGGTTGTTGAACGTTTGGAAGACAATCATGCCCCAGTCCACTCGACTTATTCGGGCGGTGGGCCTTCGGCGCGAACTGCGTCTCAAAGCAGTCGCTGGAATATGACACCATGGTTTGGAGATCGGCCAAGCCAAGCCCATGTGCAGTGATACAAACGACGTCACTACACGCGAGGCCACCTTTTTCGCTCGTAGTACACCCATATGATAGTATGACCCGCTCCATGGGTTTCATCAGATGGTCACCTGGTAAACAAGTGACTGACATATCGATTTATTGTCGGCTCCAGTTGAATTGTGGCTCATATCTTCTGAGCCACGGTAGTCTAAGGATAACATCGAATTTATCGTCCAAGTCCAGCATAATGGAGTCAGACTTAGACTCCCTTCAGTGTTAGGTAATACTACACGTTTCATCGCTGTTACGGATGTGCCTGTCGCGAGGTGCACCATCATCCTCGTCTGAGGGATCTCGCACGATGTATTCAAGCTCGCTGCTGTCTAGCGATTGGCGTTGTACGAAGTAGTTCGACGCCCCATAATTGACTAGGGCTCGAGGTAACATAGTTCGTGTCACTTCTAGTATCGAGGTAATGAGGGGGAATTTCATTACTAAAAGCAGCAACACACATTAATTAGGCGCTAGAAGCAACTTTCTTTAAGAGGCCTACAAACTCAGTTGGCTTTGATAGTTCAGTAGGGTACTCCACACCTCTTAACCCTGACCGTTTTTTGGTCTTCCATTACGGTTTGCGTTTTCGCAACGGCGTCAAACCCACGCCTTGGGCCCTCTTGGCCGCTTGGGGATTATTTTTATCTGCAGTATGTTGTACCGCATTCAGGGCACTGCATTTGTATGAATAATTTCCTACCTTCTGACATCTATCCATGTATGTAATTTCTTGAAGTTGTTAACACGAGAGCTCTCTCTCCCCGCGTGACAGAGGTCCGTTGGTTCTAGGCCTTCATTTTCCTGTCGTCTAGACTAACGATAGTATCTCGAATTCGCGTGATCCTGTTTCACGCTGAAGTTCTTCTGTTCCGCAATCCTTATCAACTTTTAGAGAATGTTAAATTCCAACCGGAAGAGGCAGGTTAGGATGAAACTATCAGTGAGACCCTAAATGAACAACATAATCAACGTTTTGCACGCTGAGTGGCTCGACTGTTACGCAACTGGAAAGGTGACGTATGTACCGAATGTACGAATATAAGTCATGTTTCCCTTGCTTGAATCTCAGTAGCTCAAAACGGGCCCTAAACTCAGCTCGCTGCGGCTCAGAGTTTTGCCCAAGCAAGGATTTGAAGACTTCCAACGACCCAAAAAAACATAGTTCGTGAAGCTTGAGAGACAATGACCAAGTATTCGCATGTTCTGACAAATTTGATTGAGCAAATGCGATCTGCATTTACTCATCGAAAGGGTGAATAGCCTTTATGCGTCATCCAATTCGAAAATCATTTTAGCGGATAATGCTAATCAGCTTTTTTGCGCTTTGAGATGTTTATCTCTCGCGATTCTGGTCGACGGGTGTGTGTCGACCCGGTAGTAGAGCCTGCTTCTGTCTCAACAGTTCAAACTGTGGAGCAATAGGTTCGTTTAACAGCTTTGTCTGTTGGGAACTTTGCTGGCGAAGCAAGGTTAATTTTTCCCGCTCGACGTCAAGTGCATTTAATTAAATTTGACGATGGTAGCGTGCTGTCCGTCTGGCCCCAGGGCGGACAGTATTGCGCCATCGGCTTTTTTTCCTACTGTCAAACTTAAACGTTCGATGGCATCCCATTCAATTTGACTCAAATGGGAGCATCTCTCACGCGTGGGGTGAATATCACCTACCTCATCGCCCAACATGTTCATGGTCGTTGAACAGATTACGAAGTGCTATCAGATGTAACAGCGCACACCTTATTCAACTAACTGGATAAACCTTGCACTGCTGACAGTGCAAGGATGTGTGTGTCTGGTACCTTACGCACACATACGTGTAGAAGAACATTGCTAAACGGAGTAAGAGCACTCAGTAAAGCTAAAATGTAGAGCTGTAATTAGTATATTCAATCCTTCTAGCAAATCCCTAGTTGACTTCATTTAACTATGTCTGGATACTAACATGTATTGTAACTATCTGCCCACCACTCATTGCGTGCTTCTGTCGTGGCTAGACTTTTTGATTGATACATTGGTCCTATATCAACCAATGAGCAGTGTATTAAATCCGTGAAGCAGTGTAATCTATTAGGACAATATTATGAGAACATCATTTTGTCCTAACATAATATTCATGCTTGATAATTGCCTTATGTAAATCATCATGTAGCAAAGCCACCCCGTTAAAGGCTATATGGAGCTCCTGAGGGGCTCTTGACCTCCCTCTATTAGAAATAGCTGGCAGTCGTTCTATGGTGATACGTCGCTGCTGTCATGCTTATCTAGGATTAAAGGCCTGGGCGCTATGCAAATGATAACGCTGAAGGCGGGAGGCCTCAGCCGTGTAGTCGTTCATCTTTTGCTGTGAAAGACACGCCTACATTTACCAATTGATGCAAAAAGAAAGTATCCTCTTCCCACTAAAGATTGATCCTGACTGAAAATGAGATGTGGCAAAGTTGTCGAAAAATATAACGACGATGCTTAAGTACGGCACTAAATCGACCATTGCTCGACCGTTTCAGTTTTGGATCGTGTACTGATATGGGTATACTGTCTTAAGAAATGTGTAATGCGCTATCTGATGTCTGATGCCAAACTTATAGCAAATAAATTTGGAAGTGCTCTATCTGATGTTGTGTCGTGTATGGGATCGAAACTTTAGAAATGAATCGTAAAGCACGCAAAATACGTTACCTAATCTTTAAGTCAGTGGGCACGGGATTTGGGTACGGTGCAGATTTGGGAATGGTCCAGATAATCCCCATATATTGTAGCAGGCGCGTCGATTTCGGAGCTGCGGCAACTGAGCGGTTCGTAATTTGGTCTTATTATAGGTATTTGTGCCTTAATTGATCAAACTGCCGGCGACAGATCAACACGGTAGTGGCATTCGAGTGATTCCCAACATCTTTGCTCAATAGTATGAAGGTGCGCGTGTTGCACTTACTCTTCAGTTGCGCTTTAATTATGTTATGCTGCTCCTTTATTTGCCCTATATTCAAATGATGGCTATACTTTGATCCAATGTCTATCTATTCCTGACCGAACCACGGTACTGCCCTAAATATTACCCCGTCAAAGCGAGGGAGCATATTCGAACTCGTAGGGCATCAAACTTTGAGACGCGACGCCTTCGACTCATCACTGCACGTCGCGCCCGAAACAAATCATATCAAAATATGCCTACGCCAATCGCCTGTAATACTGTCCAGCTCTGGACAGCCGTTCGCGGCTTCTCGGATGCACAGTTGCGCTGCATTGAGACACGTATTTACGAGTTTTTCTGCGGCAGTATTAGTCCTTCGCAGTCTATTCCGTCGTCATCATCAGGACGAGCATCCGATCTTTCGCTCACTACCACTGTAGATTGCTTCCTTCAGCTACAACTTGACGACAAAGTCCAGTCTGTGCGTGTGGACGACTTTGTGAACGTGTTTCTGTCCTTTCTGCACCAACAGACTCAATTGCATACGGACGCGCAAGGACCTGACATTGCAACGACATCTTCAGCTTCTGAGACGAAGCGCTCCACGAGCACGACTTCAGTGGATGACCACGTGGCTACATTTGACCCGCACAGCCTGACTTTTGAAAATGAGTTCCCGCAACTGACGCCAATTCATGTGGCACCCAAAGTAACCAAGCGCCGAATTACGACTACACTGTTGACATGCAAGGAACCGACCATCGTGGCTCGTCCAATGCCTGCAACCATCGCGTTTCCACAATTGGGAACACCCGAGGGCACAACAAGGTCTTCAATGTGGGCCAAAAGATCTTTATTGGAAAAACGCATGGCCACTTTGAGCTCGACAGCCAGGCAATCACCGGAGCAGACAAAGAGCACCGAAAAGAAGCCCACGAAAACGTGGACAAATGTTGACAAGGAACACGTGAGCGATACGGATGAAGCAAGAAATGCTGTGCCTGAAGGCGTGAAAACGACACCAGAAGTACAAAAGATGGAGAGTACAAAAACGAAGGAGGCAGATCAAGAAACTGATAGTCGCTTGCACAATAAAGCGAACGACAGCATATCGCGATATCAGCACATCAGAGTAGAGCAAAAAAAGCATTTATTGAAGCGCGTGACGGAGAAAAACAAGGCGAAACTTACGTCCACGAAGCAGAAGAATCTACGGGGCTGCCAACCGCTCACCGCTGCGCTGGCGAAGGGTACGAGTGCAAAAACGAACGCATCACCGGAGAATTTTGCAGTGAATACACAGGCGGCCAAGTTGTACGGATATCTCATCAGACGGCGATTTGTCAAAAATACTTGTGCCGAGCTGCAGGTTGTCATTGGCTTGTTGTACCGGGCTGACTGCACAGCGTGTCACAATAGCCAATTGCATTGGCAGAACGTAGACAACATCTCTACTGTGTCATTGTGCGTTGAGCCGTCCGAGTTTTGTTGGCGAACGCACTGTCTCGACTTCGCTGAGATCGTTTTTCAAGAGATTGAAGATGTACTGATGTGTCTAGGCGACAATTTACTTGCTCCAGTGAAACAGAGCTTGTGTCGTGTAGAGCGGACGTGGTCAAGTAGCTTATTGGAAAGACTGGATCTATCGTCACGCCGACGTGAAGAGCTTCGTGTGACAGAAAGTGCGCGAATCGGCTGCCAGTTACCAGTGGAAATGAGGGCGAGTGCCGTACGGGACTTTACAATACCATTTAACGAAGAGTTTGACTCCCGCTTGTACTATCGAACACGAGCGGAATCCCTTTTGTATGCCAATCGCGAAAAGATCCGAGACCTGTTTTTGAGCTTGCTGCGTCAATTCCAGCAGAAGCAGCACAGTCTTGTTGGTATCGAAACTGCAGGGGTGGCAGTCGAAGCTACAGCTGCAGCAAGGAAGTTGCTGGTGGAGGTTTCTCCTGAAAACAAATGGTGGTTCGCCCATTTTTTTGTTCAGGAGCTGATTCAGATCGGCGCAAACCCTTTCGGTGAGAGCGACAAGGATCTCTTACTCAAGATTATGGAAGATAAGCTCGTGGTGAGAAATCCCGATCGGCTGCGCAAGCTACACCGACGTTTCTCAAGTCAAAAGTTATCGACCAAAGTATCGCCATCCAACGTACATGCCTATCGTCGAAGTCCGGACGTATCGAGTAATAGCAACACCTCTGCCCAGAGAAACAATAGCAGTTGTAACCGGTCCGATGTCCAGTCTAGTACGAACGGGGTTGAAGCAAGCAAAACCTCTTTAGCTGCGCTAAATACTACGGAGCGCTTTTTCACGGATAACCAGCTCTTCTTTTTCCACTTTCTGCATAGTTGTGACAGCTACAACTTCTCCGAGCTTGTGAAGCACCAATTAGTGCGACAATTTTACGTGCTTGGTGACACTAGTGCTGCGGCTGCAGATGCTCGACAAGGCTTCACGGAAGTAGTATTGAAGCTTAAGGTTGTAGCAAAGTTTCTGGGGTACCTTCGCTTTTCACCACAGTGGCAAGTGACGTGCTCGTTTCGTGAGCTTTCATTACAAAATGCTGCCATGAAGGCTATTGAAAAGGAGGGAATCGATACGCTCGAGGTAGGCCGCGGCTCAAATTTTGATGTGAAACAGTTGTTGGAGGCGAGCATTTTGCAAGCATCAATCGCTAAGTGCATCCCATGGCTCTGCGACTATTTATCAATGCTTTCGCTTGATCGGTTGTCGCTGGGAACGACATATTTTAAGCAGCTCGTGTTGATGTTGCAGCTTTTGTATCGCTCACCACTAGTTGACTCGCTAGGTGAGACTGGGCTTTACATAGCGCTGCAAATAGAGCGCATCCTTCAGGTGTTGAATGTGGACGAGCATCGAGACGAACTTCGATCTCTGGTGCTACTTCCGTCGGAACGAGTGTGCAAGACGCTCTCGAGTGGTGGCGGTAAATCCTTATTGGAAAAGTCGGTAAATGGTGCAGAAGAAGACTATTTACCATTTTTGTACAACCAAGTGTTTATTCAGAGCTGTGTGAGTGAGCTTGAAGACTTGCGTGAATTTCTGCAGACCCAAGCGCAAGAGCCGCTACGACGCAATAAAAACTTGGGTAGTGTTGGAAAAATGGCAGCAGGGCAGATGGTAGCACCTGTTCGCAAACTCCGACCGTTGCAAGTTGTGATTGAAGAGGGTGCTTGCTCTGACAAGAGTTTGTCTTTATTCACCGACAGTACTGGTCTAGCTGCGCCTCACCATACAGACGAGAACGACAAATTGTCCGAGGCTCTATTCAAGGTGCATCCAAAGATGAAAGCTGTGGTGGATTTCGTTACTGGAACATTGACGAAAGACGTGTGTGAACACGTCATAACGTGTGTTGTCACGCCTCGTGCGGATGCGCTAGTCAACCAGTGTGCATCTGATAGCGGTTTGCTTAATATCAAGAAAAATGTAGACGTCTCCGCAGCGCTCGATGAGCATTCTGCCATTGTCGAGCTATCTTCGTTTCATAAGCTGCTTACGACAATGACTTGCCCTGAAGCAAACTTGACATGTGCTTCAGCTTTGCAAGAAGCTCTTTGTCTTGGGGAGAAGCGTGTAATTGCGGCAATCGTTCCTTTAATGTCATCGTCACATCCCACGCTGATCAAATCGATTACCTCCGTTGCGGTACAACGCACGCGATCCAGCTTAACAGCACTGGTACCGAAAAACTCCCAGACGGAATTCATTAAGCGCGTAGCCTGTCGAGAGAAAGATATCTTAAAGAACTTTGATCTTACTGCGAAGACGGCAGTAGCCAGTCTTTCGTTTACGACACCAGTCGAACCATACGCTGGTATGAAGGCCCAAGAAGAAAAGTTGTCACCCGAGAAGGGGCACCCGTACCAAGAATTGAGACGGCATGTTGCTCTCATTTCCAAGAGTTCTAGCCACGATGGATTGAAGAAGTCAAGTCTTGCCGAGTGGGAATCGCAGGTCGTCGTACTATCTTCGAGTCTCTCGCAGTTTAGTATCTTGCTCAACGATTGTATGGAGTCTGGTGACTTTACGCGTGATCTCGGATCTCCATCAAGTGTTCCAGCTCTCGTTATTTGGGATATTATCTGGCGGGGTCTCATGTCTTGCTTAACGTTCATTGAGACATCATTAACCATATTTGATGCGTGCAAACTGCTCTTGGTACAAGATGGCCGTGCAACGAGTGTCGAGAACTGTTTCGTCAAATTTGTTGCTGACTTTGCAATACTACTCAAAGTGATCGTGTGGTTTGTGAAGAAAAGTCCAAGAAGAGACATCATATTTTCTCGTTTACGGCCCACAATTACTTTCGTAGGGGAATACATGATGCAACAACCGTCTGCACGTTCTCCTTTACCCATCGGGCGTGACCAAGTATCTGAAAGTCTCGTGAAATGGGCTCGTTTAGTAATTGCTGAACAACTTCGCGAGGTTGTGTCACCTTTTCTGGCACCCGCTGATGAAGCGACAGCAGACAGCTGTGCTTAAACTAGATCCATTGGGTGGAACTGCAAACGTAAACCGCCGGTCGATGGCCTACAGCTTGAAGGTTGCTCGACAAGCTTTGATATCCAAAAAAATGAGGGCGCAACAGACGCATGAGTATTGTTAACGGTGCAGGATTCTATGCCAGCTCAGGTTGAACTCGTGTGTGCCGTGTGCAACACCTTGACCCGACTGAGTTCACAGCATTTGTTGCAGTACGCTCATTTTTCGATCTTGTGTCTGGTCATTGTGACTGTTTCGTTTGGATTGTAGCAATGCATTGTATGTATTGCGTTCAAAGACGAATGATGTGCAGTAAAAAGGGTCACTGGGCATCTTTGCATGTACAATGATTGATCTGGAAAGACTGTGTGGAAACAATGAAGATTCTTCCTCCATTTTGTCAACGGATACTACATAAGTCTGCGCGCAGATCTATTTTTTGCATTCGGAGCGAGCCGAACGCCTTGACGCATCAAAGATGTGTTGTGCTGGATCTGGCTTCGTCGTCAGTAAGGTCATAAAGAACCCAGTACCATTGATCTTGAATGTGTCACGTCGCGATTCGATGAATACAAAATATATTGACGCATACTTTATCTGGCTGTGAGTGGCAGCAATGGTACGGGCTACAGCCGACGCAAGGCTGACAGACCTCTTTTCTTAAGAAAGTGATGGCAAACTAGCACTATATATCGAGTGGAAACTTTTCAAGGTCCACGTACTTCATGTAATCTATGTGCCCTTGATACGAGTATGATTAATTGATACGAGTAATGCTTGCGTATACTTTTTGAGGGTTCGTAAAACTCTGCGTCAGTGCGGTCTAGTGAGTCAAGCATTGGCACATGTGTATATTTTTACAAGTGCTCTGGGGATAACGACTGGTCAATCTTGGCTATTCGTGAAAGCGTAATCATTTATAGCTTTGATCGAACAATGAAGAGAATAGTCGATGATGAATTATCGATAGCGAATAGTATAAGGCAACGACTGGATCATTTGGATAGGTTCTTGAATTTTTAGGGAGGAGCACGGGACAACGATTGCCGGTGCAAACATGCGATTATACTGAAACTACATTCACATGGGAGCTATAGTTATACTTGATGTCCGCGGCTTTCATCACTCATGTAAAAAAACTCTTCTCACTTTCACTGAGGAGTGCAACCTGAGATTCATTTATCTTGTGTCAATCTGGGCAGACCCAGTACGGTTGACAAACTCAGTCTAAAACAATGTCCGTCGTTCTTGCGTTTGTATGCAATATACAAAAGTTACTGGACCGATGTGTCATACATGGCAGTCTATGGCCATGAAAAAAGTTGCTTGAAATCGCACGACGTTAAGTGATGGTTAGGCAACTGGAATTGCACCAAAACACGTAGCGCTCTCAGTACGGCAAGCTGTATCCTAAAATTAATCCATAATATCATGCGGTTCAGGTGGAACCCCCGTATCTACGACTGCACTACGATCCTCTCTCGATGGCATCTAGCTCCAAGATTGATATGCTGCAAGATGCGGTGGTTGGTATGTGCAAATTCATCCATGATTGCGTATAGATGGCATAGGTTTACACATAATTCTACCCGATAAAACACAAAGCGGCAGATGCGGTGGTGATCAGTCCATTTTGCACGTATCTATCTACTAACCGTCATCATTGAGCTAATTGAATGTGATCAATCAAGCCATCATCTTTATACAATGCCATTGCGAGGCTGGCAATCGACTCTGCCATAAAAAATCCCCATCGACATATGCGAGAGCTTTTTATAGCTCAATCAAGCTCACCTTTGGTGTGAAGCGTTCCTGACCTTCATCGCTACCGCGGATTTAGGAAGGACCGGTATAGATTCTATGAGAATAGAAACAGTGGACGTATACGGCAGTATGAAGCCAGCAACTACACCATATTCAACCCTGTCTAAGTTTTAGCTGCTGTACAGTCAAAATTCATAGATCATGTAGTCAGCAACTTTGCGGGTCAGTAATCGGTCGTGTAAGATGACGCGTTTCGACTGCTCGTAACGTACCTACAGACCGGGCAAGATTTGCTTGTTTTTGTTAATAGCAGCTATCTCAGGTCGCGATTCAAACGAATGATATCGAAACATTTTTCAGGTCGTGACACGAGCAGAACAGGATTTCACAGCGAGCTCTGAGAGACTAAAGATTGCTGTCACAATCAAATGATCAACGTTTAGATCCGAACGGGTTCACTTGTGAATGTTTGATGTGAAAGACGAAAATTAGGGGCCTAACTAACCAGACTGGAATAAAACACACTCAAAGGAACGTGACTACAAATTGTCAGCCCGGATGTTAGCTAATAGAAGCGTGTGAGCCCTAGTTGTAGCACAATCTCTGTGAGTCGCGACGGTGCTCGAATTTATGTCGTTAGCTTTCAATTGTCGAACACTTGCACTGCACTGCACGATACGAAAAGAATGGAATTGTATCACAGCTGAGTTTGATCATCTATTTAGCGTATTGCATTTGACCCTGCGCTCGAGACTTGAACAATCGCACTCCGGCATTTTTGGGATAGAGCTGGGGAAGATATTCGATGGCGTGCCTTCAGCATACAGGTTTGTAAATCAGATATGGTAGGCTACATATGGAGAGAAGATTTGATGATTTTAAATTATTGCCTCCAGGCATATCTAACTTAGCGAGACGAACAGACCCAACATCATCATGATTGTACCATCGTTGAATTTGTACAGCACTTCGACTGCTGGTGACTGGTGACCTTGTCCCAATGTGATTAGCTACAATTTTCTGATAATGTCATGCTGCCCCTGCGTTAAAGCTGGCTGATCATCGACATGTTGATTATATCGTACAATACCTGACATTGAGTTGTCAAATAAATCACTTCCAGACTCAAAGTGCCGAGCATAAATCAGCGAGCATTGTCTTTACCATGGCAGCTTCGCATAGCCACTACAAAGTGTTTTCGAAGTTACATTTGAACAACTCCAAACAAGCTGGTGACCGGCTTCACCAGGGTCCAAGAAATTGTGGGTAAAATTCGTATTGGCAAGTTGCTTATGTGGTAGTCCAAGAAAGTGTGGGTAGGATTAGAATTGACAGGTTGCGGATTATCATAGTGTTACCGTGGTCCTGGAGGTAGAATTCGCATGAAGAGGGTAATTACTCATTACTGTAGGGAAGACGGCTTCCAAGACAATGTCATAGCACTATACATTAGCGAGGGGCGTCTGCGTTGTATATACATCACTACCTAAGAGAGGGAAGACATTTTACACAACTCTCTCTTTGAAGATATCTTGAATCACGTTCGGTCGTGTGAATCCGTGCTGAATGAAAATCGAGTGAACTGACCAGCTGAAGGCAAGATTTTGGCTTTTGCGCTTTCGAATGTTGACACTTTGAGTAGCAGGTATACATACTGTCAACATGTAGCAATAACTCTTGGGCATAGGCAAATTAAAGCTAGAAGCTTGTCATACCAGCGTGTTTTCTGGATGGAGACAAGAGATACGATGAGGGCAAATACGACCAGTGGAACCTAAGGAAAAGAAATGGCTCCAACACCAAATGTTTACTGAGCTTGCGACCCTGGCATTCCTAATAATTGGGAGTCACACTGACGAATTTTTTTTCTCGATCTGGAAGCAGTACACAGTGACGAGTACAAGTAGCAGTATACTGCGCGCGTACTTGGTACCGAAGATGATTGGTGAAGCGGCCGCATTCAAGCGCGCTCCTTGTATGCGCAAATACAAAGACCTAGCGCAGTGTTACAGCTCGGCGTAAGACGTGCCCATCGAACTTTTGCATTTTCGATGAATAAGCTTCTGTCACTTTACCAGTGTCGAAGCAGTGATTTTTACATTGAGATCGGTGTCGAGCTGACGATGGTGTGGGGTTTCTACGTACATGTCGCAACAAACTTGCTGATCCACTCGGATGGTTCAAGATATCTATTAAATGTTGCCCGAAAGTTAATAGCGCACCGAACCCGACGATTGTCACCTTTTTGCCCTTGACACAGCCGACACAAATGCATGCTTGAACTTATCAAGACGACTATGAACGAAAGGGCATGGTACATTGGCCAGAGTTTCTTATTAACTTCGTCGAGCCAACATGATCCGCAATCGCTTGGAGCTTTTTTGTGGGAACGCGCCACGCGAATATGCACTTGGGGTAGAAGACACACCTTGACGTTGTGATATGGTCGTTGTGTAGTAAAACACGGTGTACGCATATATCGATAGCGTTGAAGTGAAGCCGTTGTTTTATACATGGTTGAGCATTCGAGCCCATGAATGTATTCGGTGCGGGCTGCTCACTCAGACCTGCATTGTACATCCATATTCAAGATTTTAGACAAGTGTACACTTCATAGATTTTGACTCCACGCAGATCGACAAGCTCGATTATGTAAATCTTGTGATGCTTTTTACTGCAACAAGGTGCTCGCCAGGTTAACCTATTATAATTGTCAAAGTCGTTCACTAGGACCGCGACCACTTTCATATTGCACATGTGAGCGTGAACTTGTTAGACGTAGTTGCTTCAAGTTCCTACGCGACGACAAACCATTAAATGAACACATACAACGCAAAAACGATACAACCATTATTTCCACTTAGGCAAACTAAGATTGAGTGACACCAAGGCAAGAGGCAGTCAATCGGCTACATTTTACTGGCGTGGAGCGATGGTCGCGGACATGCTGCTGCTGGTAGCTGGTCCAGCAGTAATACCCATGTCTTCCAGGAACTTATCCATGCGAGCAGACTCCTTAGCCTAGCAAGAATGTACAACAATACAGCATTTCCAGCTCAGCTTACAGCATCTCACAACAGCACAAATCACGAGCAATTATCGTTACCTTCAAGTCAGCGATTTTCATGGATTGCTCCTTCTGCTTTCGACACCGAGCTGCGTCCCGACGAGCTAAGTGTCGTTTTAACTCGTCATTGCCACCTCCGGACACGCCCATCAGGAACCCTTCATCCAGATCAAGTCCATCTCGTGCTTCTTCTCGGTCTCTTGCTGCCCCATGCAACTTGGCCCCGATTTGACGGCGTTTCATGAGCTGAGCTTCTCGTCCTGTAGCCTTTGGTGCAAGCTCATCCACAATCGTGTCACCGTACTCTTTTTCTCTTCGACGCTCTGTTTTGCGTCGCTTCTTTGTCTCTTCCCTATCCTCAGGAATCCCTTCCATCGCACGACGACTATCTCGATCTCTGAACTTGCTCTTGGCTTCGGTAGGTTCTCCTTTTTGACCAGAAGAAGAAAGCAATAGATCCGCTTTCTTTGTCGCTACGTCGACTGAGTCTTTGGCCGTCGCTACCTCGAACTTCTCCTTGTCACTCAGTTTTGATACAAAGTTCCAACGATGACGTGTTCGCTTTGTCTGCTCCACCACACTTTCGGACAATCCTTGGTAAAACATTGAAGCTAGCTGTCCTCTGTTCCATTTCTTTGCAAATTCAGTACAAAATAACTTCATGGCTTCAGCTGTCGACAAATCATCGACATATTTGCCTCTAGGCAGCCCGGAAAAAATGACACGCAAAGAGATGGGTACAAACTAGAACAATCAGTCACGACGAATTGCGCGACAAATTGGTGGGTGAGCTATTTAGAGCAACTATTTACCACTTACTTTGTTTGAGTCAGCCACACTCGAAACTCCGTCTGACGCAAAAAATAGTCCTCTTCTGTGATGGCTTTTGCGCTATTTTTATCCAGTTTAGAGTCGTGTTTTGATCGACTTTTGTGGCGAGATGAGCGTCCGTCCTCGGACCTGCGGCTGGACTTGTATCGACCCGAAGATGATCTGCTTCTCTTTGTTTCGCTGGGGCTCATGCTAACGTCACAGATAGGGGGAAAGGGTGAGTGGACGGGCTTTCCAGGGTCCGTTAGCGGGACGGACGATTCGGTCACTTGGGCGGTAAATAGGGCTGCTATTTCTAGCCGGACTCTAAATTAGGAGAATTATAGGTAGATCCACCAACCTTTGACACGCTCATACCCAGTCGAGCTGTCTATCTTAATAATAAAGGGAGTTGTTAGATTCACTCCCTTTTTGATTGAATTCCCTCCCATTTCTTTCATTAAGTAAGCATTCAAAACTGCCAATTCTGATTGGTCAATATATGTGTAAAATCTTCACGTTTAACATACCATATAACATGGTACCATCCTGCTGATACTAGAAGTCACGTTAGTGCATACACCTCAAGATCGTACCCGGTATGACAGTCGTCCGCAAACATCTCATCTGTGGCTCTTACACTGGGACACTTCGTTCAATACAGTTCATCATTCTGCACTTGCGATATTCGTGACACATTTTTAGCTACCTCTCTGAACAGCATATCCTAAACTTGTTGAGAGTGGGTTAGATACCACAGCGGCTCAAAATTTTTGCGGAGGTTTGATGATGGCATGACTATAAAACGTTATACATGACTAAATTATGAGCGGAAGTCATTTGCACGTAAACGCGCATGACTATCTTTTTAGACACTTGAACATGTCGATAAGAAGAAGGATAGCAAAGTGCAGTATCGCGTGGTGTTTACGACAAAAGCAAATTATAATAGCAGCGCCAATTCGAAACTTGTGATGATCTTATACGGTCTCATTTTCCAGTCGTGTAACATCTTTATCGCTGTTTCTGCTGATCTACAAATGTGCATAAATGCCCTTTACCGTCTTCATCGCCACCATCCCTGTCGTTTTCGTCTTGTACTTTCCCCTTTTATCCATTCCATCCTTTTGTACGTTAGATACGTTATTACTCTTGTTGAATTGCATGCTATTCAAAGCTGCGTGTGACCTTCGTGTCAATCGTAAATATCCCTAGGAGTGTATGCTCTTAAGGGTGCGTTATTGTGTTTCAAAGTACTTCTATGGAGAATTTAGTCGTTGTAGACTATCACCAGACGTAGACGCTTTCTACTATATATACTTGTAAAGATAGGCTAATTGTGTACGCAAGAGCGTAGCAGCCATCGTATCCCTTACAACAACGTCATGTCGTAAGGTAAGGGTGACCGTTGGGCCACCGGACGATGCCATATCATTATAACAATAATTTGGCTTGCGAGGATATCAAGGAGATGACAAGTACACTTAGCAACTGAATATTAACCAGCAAAAACTTCTTGCTTTTTTACATGTGTGTACTTAACGAACAAAAAAGAGAGTGAATCTAACCATAAAGGAAGTGAATCTAGCCATCCCTTTAATTAAATGTCGCCGAGCTTCCTATCTATAAATAAATACACGAAACAGAGTAATCACATTTTAAGTTAAACAGCACTGTGATTTTGGCAATGACCAAGACTTCTCATTTACCCTTTAGAGCTGGCGCAATACCCGACTATGAAGGGCGGCTTGGTACGTAGTACCTCGGTCTTTACACTGTTGCAAGTTTGAGGTTACATGCTCATTATCAATGCTCAACCTAACTGCGGTCGTAATCTTAGAGCAACGAATTCTGTCCGATCGAGTAGGTCTCATTGAAATAGCTAACAATGGCAGATAGACCCAATACTGACACTAACCGAGCATTTGCAAATTGTGAATCACGTCGAGAGATAAGACGAGAGCGGTGAAGTTGACTCAGTCAATTGCCTGTGCATACCCGTGCGGTCACCGCATGAAAAACAGAAGGCAAAATGTGTTTGAGACCAGATCATTCAGGTAAAGTGTCAGGAGTCGTACGTACCACGTTTCGACCTGGACGACTGATCTATAAAAGCGATGGTATCCAGGTGCGCCAAGATGTCAACTACTATATCAATGACAGGCATTGACCGGTAGTTTTGCATCGGCAATTTCCTTATTCCACGATATACTGTTCTCGGACCATCTGCCACGGAAGCGTATCGAATTGGCGGAGACAGATGTCCACGTAAAACAACGAATCAGCACAACGACCCCACACTATAATCACCAACCAATAGTTCTGGTCTCAATGTCAACTGGAATCTACCGAATTCATAAGAAACATGGCATTCCAGCAGCTCGAAATAAAGGAGTCAGGGGAAGCATGAGATTACACCCATTCGTCACACATCCTACCGTAATAATTCCATGACATCTGCATCATTATTATAATTTGGTGTTGGCTACCAAAACCGCCATCGTGAATGCAGGCAGTCCATACTGCACCATAGGCGCTCTGCCTACAAAATACAAAGATGACACCCGCCTCGCTCACGCACTGCAAAATGCATGCGTAACCTACCGAGTACAGTTCAGGAAAAAATCGACTCACTTTTGAAGACACGTCGTAGTCAAACTCATAAAACTCGTTGACATGAAGGCAATTCTAGCCGATGTTGTAAAGCAGATTGCCAATTCGTCACCGTGGAACTTCAGGCCCGATGAGCCTAAGCAAATTTGTCCAAGCACTGCACTATCACCATCACAATATGTTCGTAGGACATGCACCAAATCAGGACTTTCATGCGCTTGCATTTCAAGCGGCCATGATGATAAAACAACTTCATCGCATCTGCTCGATTGCACAGTCAATTTTAATTTACAGTTTACATACTCTGTTGACGCGAGATAACTAACGCAAGCATGCACAATCTAAATCATTGCGACGTCGTTAGCACCGCCACCGGTAGCCAGAGCTCGCACCTTTTGTTCGAATCACGCATTAGTGGCACTATTCCATCTCTCTGGTTGAGTGGTAAACGACAGCACCTCCACAGTTGGCATGCTGTGTAAGCGTATTGCGTATTTCAGTGTAATAATAGTGCAATATTCTGGCTACACCCTTTCTCAAGATACATAGTCACATTGATGCTCTACCTTACAACAGAATAGCGAGACCGACGGATGAAGCTCAAAGCGACTGTGCACAAACTGAATGTCGATTTTCTTTCGAACCCGTGGGGTGAAGCTATTAGTGTACAGGATTGTCTTACTGCCTTTACGGTTCACAAGATTGCAAGTCTCTAGCCGCTCGAGCACCCCTTCTGGTGGTGGGAGATGCCGTCCAGGGTCACATGAGTAAACGGTCGCAAAGAATAGGGTTGCAAAAGAGTTCTGTCGCTAGCCGGGAAAAGTACAGTCGTCCCCTTCACGATAGAACCAGTGTCAGGGTGAAGCTATCAGTGATTGTGCGCAAGCTGAAGCCGAACTTTATTAGATCGTACTGATCTGTCTGTCTGTAATTAACGCGGTTAGGCGTACCTTACATGTTCTAAGTGAGACCTAGCATGTTACCCTCTCGTAGGTGTACAGAAAGTTTGAGTCACTCTTTAGTCAGGTCACTATTTCTGCACGCACGTGATTGGCTTAAATCGATCAAGGGTGAATACGATTATGCATGCAAATGCTGGACTGATATACATGGGCTGTCGCGTTGCCCGTGTCTACTGTACCATGTTAAAAATGTTTCATACTCGTTGTACATTGACTACTGATGTATAGTGTTTTGCATCTTGATAAAGTCCTATGATAAGGTAGTAAGCTCTAGAGCTCGCCCTTTGATATAAGTAATCAAGTTCGGAGAACTGAATGAAGTGGCAAAACAATATACAACAGCAGTCACTGAAGAATGTGCGTGATGCTGTGAATGTCTGTATTCAACCAGTTCAGTATACTTGGGCAACGTGATCAGCCATAATCTATAAGCGTCCAGCTTTTGTTTGCATGATCGTAAAACCTTGATCGAGTCAAGCCAATCACGTTCGTGCTCCAGAATAGTAATCTAGCCAAAGAGTGACTTCGAAAATACCTGTACCTATGAGGGGGATAGACTAAATCGTACTCAGAACATAAAAGGTACACCTAGCCGCGTTATTTATAGACACACACACCGATAAGCGCGATTTAAAAGTTCGTCATTCAACCTTGCGCACAGTCACTGGTCACCAATGGCTTCACCCGTCGGGCTCGCAATGAACTGAATGAATCATGTCAAAAGGCGAGCTCCACAGCTTGCTCGTCGATCCTATATATTTTCATATACGCTAGCACTATTATTTGCAACAATGATTAATTTAGATAGCTTGACTCTGGTGTGTATGTATGAAAGGGTGGGTTCAAATTGATTATTCTTCAAAAACAATGGAAATCTAAGTACTGGAGTGTTTCCTTTTATCTACCATCTAACGCCCTTATAAGGTAACGTGTTGCGCTTGTATCATCATGGTGTCATCAGTAATCTTAGCGGCAGATTTTCACCTATCACGACAAGCTACACGTCATTCCCAGTAGAGGTATAATGACGTTGCTAAATTGGCTCAATGTCCTAACAAAGCCTCGGCAAGAACAGTTTTTACATCATACGCTAAATGTGTCTTTCAATCAGCATAAGTAGGAATAGTGGGTCGTATTAAAAGCTCTTTTATACTCTGATTATAATATCCTTGACGTTTTTTACATTACATCTTACTCACTTACAAAGAGCCTCAGATACATATCCCTACATACTTTACAGTGTTCGATAAACTGTGACCTCCATATAGAAGAGATATCACAAGATTTTCCTTTCATCAATGGAGTGCAACGCTTTTCACGTGTATAAATTTCGTGAGCAATACGTGAATTACCCGTCGTGCTTAGGTCGAAACCGCACGTACATTTCACGTCAAAATCGCAATGTTCTGGATCATCATCTGTTGTTCACAAATGCTCCAGCGCAATTATTCCATTGCTCGTTTGGAACTAACTTAGATAGCAGATGTTGCCTACTTGCTGATTCAGATCTATTCGAAGGATGTCAAAGAGTACTTCTGCTTTGATATGGGTATGATCAAGCCTAGGTTAATCGTCGACTTAGCGCTATGATTTATAGGCGGACCAGTTGGATACATAAGCATTTTGGGCTACTTGTT